GGGTGTGGCATGGCTTGGTGGGTGTGGCATGGCTTGGTGGGTGTGGCTTGGTAGGCATGGCAGGCGGAAGGATACTATAAAATCTCCATTCTGTCAGCTTTGGAAGCCATATTGAGATCAGATGCTCCCATGCTCCCACATCTCAGCCTGGGAACGTGGGAGGGGGGGAATATATTGGAGTATATCTAGTTAGATATAATAACATTCTTTTTCTGATTCAAGGTCAGGTTGTGTTGTGCATAATGGAGAAGAAGTCTTAAGTTGGGACGGATGGTAATTGGGGCATTTGATGTGATGATGGATGCAGGGGATTGATTTTGTAGTTTTTACTTATTGTAAGGAAGCCCAGAACTTTCAGGTTCGGGATTCCATGGTTGTGCCAGTTTACTATCCAAAATAAAAAGAACCTTCAAGAGATGTCTGTCTCAGAGTCATTGGGTGGAATGGAGTGTTGCTGGAAAGCTGACACATTCCCTCACCACTCCTGGGGGAAGGTTATCACCAGTTCTCTGAACTACTCAAAATTTCCGCTACCGGTTCTCCAGAACTGATCAGAACCTGCTGAATACCACCTCTGAAGTAAGGCCTTTAGAAAAAGAGCAGCTATGTTTGGAACCAATATTAAGTTCTCTACCAACAACTTTGTATATTCAGAGATTTGTCAAACAAACTACAAAAGTCCCACTTGCTGTGCATGACAAGAAGCAATGTTAATGGTTTGAGAGCAAGAAAATGTGCAGGCCATATTTTGAAAGATGGGGTGGGGGGTGTACCAAGATGAACAGATATGAATTAACTGATCTGCTATGAAAAGCAAGCTGACTGCTAAAGTTAAGTTAAAAGCTCACCATTTTATTCTTCTTTTTCACAGGTTTAGCAATTGTAGGCAAAATAGAAAGATTGCTACATGGAAGACTTAAACCCTATTTATAGCTAGATATGTGAATATGGAAATGCATAAAGGAATAAACTTCAGGTCAAAATTGGGGGTCTTTTGTTTAAAAAAAGGGTGGGGAAGCATCAAAGTAATTACAAAGAGATTTTTTTAAAGCTAGAACTAGACAAAAGCAGGATGTAAACAAAAAGTAACCTACAGTGGGAAATATTTCATGCACCTCAAGAAAGATTACTGCAAGATGGAACTAACAACTTCTATAGGCATTTGGAACATTTGGAGAAGACAACTTCCACAGCAAAACAAACAGGAAACCCCTCATGATCTAGTGCAGGGGTGTCAAACCCATGTTGTCACAGCGGTGTCACATCACGTATCAGGATTCCGCCCACCCCTTCGCTAAACTGGGTGTGGACAGCGCATGAGCCCCAATCTAGTGTCTACAAGGATACGTGATTATAGCTTCCATTCATTCAAAATATAGTATGGATCAAGTTCAGAACCTTAATGCTGACAGTATCTAGACCCATGAATGGAGTCAAACTAATCATTCTGGCACAGCTTTTCCCTTCATGAAAGTAATTAGAAAATCTTCCCTGTAGTTGCATTTTGTCTATTAGAAGAATATGGTCTATTAGAAGAAGATGCAGTACTCAGTGCTCATGAATGCTTCTTGAGGGGTCCAATTGTGGTAGAATGTAATGTGGAATCCCAGGAGGAAGGGGCTGCTTTCCAAAGAGTAAAGAGACAGCAGACCTTGGAAAGTTTGGTTAGCAGGAAGAGAGTTAAAACAGTTCCTCCCTGGCTATTCCCTGAGTGTATCTCTGGCCAATAGCAGCTCTACTTTGGCAAGATTCCATTTACAGGTGAAAAACAATAAAGGAAACTGCTCTTAAGTAATTTCACATGTCATTCTTGATTGTTGGGGACTTGATGCCAATAAGGCCTCACATATTCAAGCATCACAGAATGGGATTTACCTCTGACTCTAAGTAAGTCCTATGAAATTCTGTCGGTGCGTAAAATGCAGCTGTCATGTGGAGAATGAGTGACAATGGCAGCAAGTAACAGCAATGTTGCGCTGTGGTGATGGATGAGGGAAAACAGGGCATATGTAGGGCAGAGTTGGGTGTTTGACCTCTCAAAGTCCAACTACTCCCACTATCACACCTAAAAATATTATTTCTGCATCTGCCAGAAACAACAATCCTTTCTTTAAGTTTACCCTGCATGTAGAAAACAGAATCATTTTGTTGCTCAATATCTGAAAATTAATTGCTATGCTAGATGGAAATGATAAGGAAACAACAGATATTCAGAATTTCGTTACTAGAAAAACCTTCTCAGATGATCTCCTATCTAATCTCTTGTTAATATCTTTAGCACATATCATTTTTTTCATTTATCTGTCAAATTTCTACCCTTCCTATATCACCTGCATGACTTTGAAGGGTTTACAAACAATCTTCTATGTTCAATGTCTTTCCAAGTCTAACATTCACACTTTTAAAAAAATCACATCTTAATATTGATCTGGCTACAAATAGTGGGTTTTTTCCTAATTCGCTGATAAAAGAGGCATAATCCTACTTTTATTTCTGCATTTTAAATTTGACATTATAAGACCAAACAACTGCAAGAATATCAAAAAAGAGAGGGTTAGGAGAAAAGGAAGGCAAGGCCAGGGAGGTTGTCAAAACTATTTCAGATTGTGTTTGTTGTGCATTTGATTTCTTCCTTTTCTAGTGATCTTGTCTTCCACATCCAAAAGAATCTGCTGCCATTACATAATCCAAGGGCATTGTATAGGAATGAATGGTTAATTTTAATAAATTAACTGTAATAGAGGTTAAAGACTTTTCCAATTAAGTTCCATCAAAGCACATCTGATTTGGCTCCACAAACCCATCCACAGAAAACTCACAATCCTTTCAGTTAATTGGAATGAAAGGCCCTATTCAAACCAAAATCACTTACTTGCCAAGAAAGCACTTGGGAACAGTGCTTAATTTTCTCCTCCTGTCTTTGATAAGATTCACTTTCTTATTCATCATCATGTGATACAGTTTTTCTCCTTTCTCAGCAATCATAGCATAAGCATCTCTCTCCATGCCTAGCTTCAGACCTAGAAAACAAAAGCAGAATCTTTCATAAACTCTTCCCAGATAAACTTGGTCTGCTCCCCGCCAAAAAAGTCGGCCTAACACCAATTAGATCACAAACATTTTCCTTTCCTTGGTGAAAATAGTTTTGTAAACAAAAACAAGCTTCTCAGTTGTGAATAGATACTTCTTCTCCCTTAAATAGAGTAAAGGTCAATCTGAAGCTTCTTTTCTATCCTTTTTTTTAATGGAAGCACTTCATTCACTTCCATCACAACTAAGGCTGTGTATATTTGACAACGCATCCAAGTCAATCATAAATATACTGAATACAGTGCATCAAGTTTCTGGTCTAATTAGAGAAAGTGTAGTATTATGTCCACTGCAATTCAGAACTGTTTTCATGATCATATTTCTACTGAAATGATTTGCAGGGGGAGGGACATTCTGGCCGACTGCCATCTTCCTCCATACTATAATATTACTCCAAAACACTTGCTGACAAATTCTGCAAAAGGCAATTTGCAAAGTCAGATTGGGAGAGAAAGCAGTCTGTGTAATTCAACACATTCTCGATTTGCAACTACATCATCGAATTCCCTAAGCTCTGAGGTAAGGAGAAGATTGCAATGCATCCCTTGCTCATCTGGTTGGAACATAAAACATATTGTCTTCGTGCTGATAATGGCTTGGCTGTTGAAGTATCTCAACCCGATGGGATTGCCTTTCGATAAAATCTTGAATTCATGCCTAAAACCTCCTTGATTTCCTTCTTATCTATGACAAACAGAAATTGCCTCTAGACAAGCAAGTGAATCTCCAATTGTCAGCCCTCCCAGGTAAACTAGACAGGAAACATAAGCAGAAGAAATAATTCTTCTTTATAATGTAAGGATACATTAGAAAAATCTTGCAAAGTTCAAAGTATAAACCTCCCGCTGCCACTTTTAAGTTCTTGATCTATTAGGGTGGATCCTTCCTAAGTTTGTTACTCTATCCGTTAAGCCACTGGGGGCTCCTGTCTCTCTTGTCTAATTGTTACATAGGAAACATCTCTTCTCCGCATTTCCCAGGGTCATTCACACATTCCATGACATCAGTGTTTTGGAAGACAGTATAGAACAGGGGTCTCCAACTTTGGCAACTTTAAGACCTGTGGACTTCAACTCTCAGAATTCCTCAGCCAGCAATACCCCTGGTATAGAAGATTAATAGAGTTTGAAAAACAAGATCAATAAAGAATTTATATACATCCAAAACTGGTCTGCTTGTAACCTTTAATTAGGTGACATGGTGCACCACAGTGCAACGATTTTGGGAACCAAAGTAACTCAAATGAGCTAACTTAAATAATGCATCCAAAATCTAGAACCCTCTCTCAAAAGTCAAAATCCACTCCCTTGAATAGGTAGGGGCTTCTTTTTTTTCTGGCAGAAACCAGCAAAAAGCATCACAAATCAGGTTCACAAGACTGCAGGATGCTGCAACTGGTTGCAAATGCAATTAAGTTGGCAAGAGCCCAAAATGCTGTCATAATTTCAGTGGAGTATAACTGTGTCACTTTGAACTGCACCCATGGTCAATTTTTCATGGCATATGGAAGATTTTAAAAGAGTTTAATGATACAAGTAAATGCCAGAACCTTAACAAAATGTGTGCTGTACAAACTATTATAATTTTTCCATAGTTAGCATAAGGAATACTAATATAAATTCCTTTCTAGAACATCTACAGCAGTCCTGGGAATCCCTTGGAAACAAAGGGATAAATAAAGCCCGCAACCAGGGTTTATTACATATTAATTTTTAACACTCTCCTGTGGTCTTATTATATGTATGTTTTATTGTTTTTAAAGGTTATTTAAGATATGTTTTATTGTTCTGTTTTTACTGTATGCCATCCAGTCACATTCATGAGCTGGGTGGCTATATAAATTTCACAAATAAATAAATCATAAACTTACTTATCTGCTTATAAAACAAGAGCCATAAAACTTTTACACAGTGCGTAAAATATGACTATATGTGCCAAGAGTACTTGAGCTCCACATCTCTGAATCTGTTTTAAGGGAGAAACCTTCTACATTGTAGATGCTTAAATTATACCTCTGCATCGCCATCATCATTTTTTTTCGCCATGACAATGAAAATAAGCTGCTCCTTTTTTAGATGGGAAAATTTTGCAAATGTATACAGACTTTTGTCCCTAAAATATAAAAAGTGTCAGCCACAAGCTTACTTTCTCTTTGTTCCCGTTCCTTGATTATAGCATCCAGCCATTTCTGTTTGTCCTCTGCTGTCTTGGCCATACAGACAAACCATTTGTTTTTGGCAGTGTTGTGTATCTTCCATCCATTTGTTACTGTATAACCATTACTGTGATAATCTGCTACAAAAGCACAAATGTACCAAGAAGAGAGTTAGTGCAAATCTGGAGTTTAAAAGGAAAATAAATTCAACCTGAGCTCCACCATTGTCCCTTTTCTATGGTAGTAATAGAAACAGCTAGATAGATGTTCCAAAAGTTTGAACTGAAATACTGGGCAACTGTGAAAATAATACTGAGACTACTCCAAAATCAGGTAAGAGAGTGATTAATGAGAAGGTATTTATTATATCAAGTGATAGAGTGAACTTTCAGCTTCATCTGATGGTTACTGATACCAAAAAGAAAACACTTGGTCTGAATTGTTTTTAATTTTAAGGGAGTTCAGATTGACTAAAAATCAGTGATATTTTAGTGGCACAGTTTTTGCATTGGTACAGATTGAACTACATTAATTTTCAGATCCTTGGCTTAATCTGGTGATTGAATTAACACATTTTAGGGGTTAGGACTCCTAAAATGAACTACCAACTAACTATAATTAGCCAAGTTAAGAGTTGCCAAGCTTTGTATATTCTGAGGATGGCTTTTCTAGATCTTTACCAGACCTAGTTAAATATATTAACAGAGACTTGGAATTTAAATACCACTTCAGAAATGCAGATAATTCAATCCAAACTAAAGTGATGCCTGCCAAGAAAACAACTGGATTTTTCTCTGACAAATGAAATAGGCTTGTTCATTTGTTTGCTTACTTAGTTGATTAATTTCTATGCACCCATTCCTGAAGACTCGGAGCAGCTAACATGCAAAATCATTTCATAAACTAAAGACAACACCCTCAAAAATAATAACATTTGCTTATTCATTTAAACTTATTGGCCACCTAACTCCAGTGGAATAAATATACATGCAATATAAGCAACATTAATATGTACAGGTGATCCTCATTGCACAACCACTCATTCAATGAGCATTCAAAGTTATGATGGTGCTAAATGTGGAAGCCTTACTATAGGTCCTCACATGCAGCCATCACAGCACAGCTGTTGTCACATGATCACAATGCAGACACTTCGCAACTGGCTCACAATCAGGACTCTGCAATATGTCACAGTCATCTGATTGCCATTTGCAATCTTCACTGATGTTTTCCAACAAGCAGAGCCAATGGAAAAGCAGGCAGAAGGTCACAAATGATGACCTTATGACCACGGGATGCTGCAACCATACCACAGCCATCACCTCATAAATTGAGCCAGAGTTGTGAATTCAGGAAGACACCCCCAGCCCAAAATCACCTCTGAAAAGATGTGTACAATTCCATTAAGAGTCAAATGGAAGAACATCACTGCCTTGTCCTTTTGAGACAAAATTAATTGGTCCTTACCTGTCCCATCTTCCACATTCTCAACCTCCATTACTTCTGTGTTTATTCGCCCTCTGAAAATGTAGAGGGATCCATTGATAGACTTAGTACGCTTAGATGTTTTTTTCCCAGCAACTCTGTAGTTAATGAATATATAGTGAACAAAGATGTTTATTAAGTATTGGACAGTTTCAACACAACAATTTGCCCCTTACAAACATCCTGCCACTGAAATTGGGATAGGAGTACATTTGCCACTTCCTGTACTGGTAACCACGTAACCATAAACACTATCATAAACCTTTTGTGGAGGAGTATTTAATAAAGGAAACGATACAAGCACGTAGCGACAGATGGCAAAGCAACAGTTGGCAACTAAAAATACAACCCATCTTTATGACAGGATCTGAAACCATAGTAATATTAAAGTAGTTAGTTAGTTATATATGTATGTGTGCAAGTATGCATTCTTGTATTGTATTGATTTATGTATTTGCCCATATCTCAGTTGCTTTTGTTTAGTGGTTGTTTAATTTGATTTAAGACAAAACTTCTCAAGGATCAACCAAAAAAGGATGCCAAGTCAGAAGATTTAATTTCAGCAGAGATTCTGGATGCTGCTAAAGGTAGATAACAGGTAGAACTGAATAATAAGCGTCCTGCTGGATCAAACTCAATGTAGATCAGCATTATCTTCCCCCTCAAAGCTGGCCAAGATGCCTCTGAGAAGCACACAAGTAGAACATAAACTTGTCCACCTATCTTTTTAAATCATTGTTTAATACCATTGCAGCACATCACTATAGGTGACAATGATAAAAACGAAGAAGAAAAAGCTGACATAACACAGGCAACAGAAGGAGCAAACCTGTAGAAGGGGACTTCAATCCCTTTCACCAAAGGCCAGGACTTCAAAAATCTTCTGAAATACCTACAGGATGAGTATCATGATCTTGGGGGGACCTCATTTCAGAGGATAGATAGTGCACTTCCAAGGTGTATAGTATTGTTTAATTGAAGGAATCAGGACTATGGCAATCCTGTTTGATCAAATCATCTAGTAGATACTATGGGTGGTCCCTCAAGTAACCAAGTCTAAACTGCATAAGGCTTTCTAGGAAATGAACTGCACCTGGAAATGCACCTGGAAACGAACAGGCATTCTTTCATCTTGTGGAGCTGATATGTTACATGGGTATGCCTCAGCATTCTGGTCGGGTTGTAATTGTGAACTGCCCAGAGTTTTGTTTTAAAACGGTCAGTCACATAAATCTTATAAATAAGTTTAATAAATAAAGTTTTTAGGTTTCAGATGGTCTTCAAGGACAGCACCACATATAGTGCATGACATTTGTCAAGCTGTGAGGTGGCCAAGGTATGTCTGAAAGGTTTCCTGATCTAGCAGAAAGGACAACTGTCATGCCAAACAAAACTGCATAAAGGCCTTTCTGGACGCAATTGTTCTATTGAGCAAAAATTTTGAATCCAGGAAGATCCCTCAGATTGCATGTTACTCTTGACAGAGGAAATGCTACCCCCTCCAAAATTTTCCCAGATCTAGATGCCCCAAACACAGCCTTAATAGGAAAGAGTCAGAGACAGTTCTTCCCCATTTACACCCTGCCTCAAAACAGAGGCTCAACAGTCTCATTCAGATGGCCTGGTGTCAAAAGGTATTACTGGGTGTTATCAGCTTACTGATGATACCAAACCCTAAACCAGCAGATGACCTCGCCCAGCTGTTTCATGTAGATGTTAAAAAGAAAGGGAGAGAGGATAGAACCTTCCAGCACTCTACCTGAGACCTCTATAAAACAATGGTCTCTATCCCCAATACATGGAGATGGTTAGAAAGACACCACTATTGATGGAACTGAAAGGCACTGAGAAATCAAGGAGTACCAGGATAGATGTACCACCCCTACCTCAGCTCCACCACAGACATCTACAGCATCACCAAGGCTGCCTCAATACTAAATCCTGCCTGAAACCTGCCTGAAAAAGAACTAAATAATCCACTTTTCCAGGATTATAATCAACTGCAGGCTGGCTACCTTCTCCACAATCTTCCTCAACAATGGAAAGTTGGAGGCTACATGATAATTATGGAGAACATTTGGGGTCAAGTCCCAAAGATGCTTTTTCAAGAGGCAGTTGGACTTTCTTTGTTTTCCCAGAAGATGTTAAGCTTCTATCTAAGAAGCTTTTTCAAAGCAGCAAAATGTCTTCAAGAAAAACAAAGAAAATTCAGTTGCCTCTTGAAAAAGCATCTTTGGATGCTTTGCATGACCTGGAAAACTGAACATCTCCATAGACATTTGAGGTCAAGGACTGAAATAACAAAGTTTTTGTTCGCTTGTTGTTATTGTTTTGGAAGAGTATTTTGCAAACTTCATAGAGATCTGTCCAAGGTTCTGACAAGCCTTTTCACCTTTGTCTTTTTAAGCATGAACAGATAAAATGCGATACTAAATATAAACATGCCTTCTTTGGAGAGGCATTCTTGAAGATCCTGAGAAGAAGCTGAGCTATGGCAGAACAGAAATCTTCATAGCTATTTGTTTGGGTTGACCTACTAAGTGTAAATAAAGGTTTTGAATATTATAGATTGTGTGCTTCTGTTTTTGCTGTCCCATCTGATTAATAATCATCATGTGTCAATTAAAGATGATCCTCTTAGAGTTACGTCAGGGAATGGGGCAAGGAGGGGAGTATACCATTTTAAAAAAACTTATTTTTATTCTGGTCTACGGCCATAATAGCAATAGCACTTAGACTTATATACCACTTCAGTGCTTTACAGCCCTCTCTAAGCAGTTTACAGAGTCAGCATATTGCTGCCAGCAATCTTGGTCCTCATTTTACGGACTTTGGAAGGATGGAAGGATGAGTCAACCTTGAGCTAGTGAGACTCAAACTCAAAGCCTGCAGTACTGCATTCTTACCACTGTGCCACCATGAAATATTTGATTTCATTTTTATTTTACAATATTAAATCATTTGTATCCACCGGACTAAATTCCATTTGAAGCAGTCTGTATTTTTGAAACAGCAAGCAACACAAAAGCATAAAGTTTATTTTTTTAAAGGATGAGCAGGTGGCAGTAAATCAGTGATTTTACACCCACATAACGATGAACTGCAAAACAGAATGTGCGAGTAAGTAAATTTGTGTTACCCAAATTACAGCAATAAATTCTAACTGCTCCCCCGCAACAATCCTGCACACATACGTGTATGGATGTGGACATTTCTATCCATGATGCAAAGAACATCGTTTCAGTTACATGTGGGCAAACACTGCACTGTGTAGGCAAAGAAAATATTGTAGCTTTTCTCCCTCAAATACTGCAACCTTCTTTTGGGGTCACTTGATAATGAATCAAAAGATCCATGAAACAATCCTGTAAATTTGGCTCTAGTCTATCTATATGTAAGAGCCTCGGTGGTGCACTGGTTAGAATGCAGTACTGCAAGCTACTTCTGCTGCAACCAGCTGCCTGCAATTTGGCAGATCGAATCTCACCAGGCTCAAGGTTGACTCAGCCTTCCATCCTTCCAAGGTGGATAAAATGAGGACCCAAAAGTGTTGGGGGCAATATGCTGACTCTGTAAACAGCTTAGAGAGCGCTGTAAAGCACTATAAAGCTGTATATAAGTCTAAGTGCTATTGCTATTGCTATGTATACCATGATCTTTGGGGCTACAGCATGGAAACGTGGCTCTAATACCAGCCTAGACATCCATACATCATAGAACACTGAGGTATAGTTGACATTAAACATTTTCCCACTGTATAAACTTGTTATAAAGTTTTATATTTGGACACTGTAACTGATTAGTATGTCACTTATTGAAGTCTGATGCTAACTAACTCCAGAACGTGGTAGACATTCAGCTTCATTCTGCACTGAATTTAAACAGCCGACAGAGAGAGATAAACCATCACAAATTATAGCAGCTTTGCCACATCTAAATATATCTCTTAAATAGTAGGTAGCATGCAGAAAACTCCTCTATTTTTAATGAAAATCAGATTCTGGAGAATGGGACAAAGCTTGCTTTGGAATTACAGGAAATATAAACACAAATTCTTTGGGGAACCGAAAGTGTCAGAGCCGCCATATCGATCTCCAAGCCAAACTGCAGAAAACTTGCTCACTGATGCCTGTTCTGTACAAACAAGAGCACTCTCTCAAAAGGCAATAGAACATTTTGTTTCCCAAACTCAGTGTTCTGGGAAAACTGCCTGCAGAAAGGGAAGGGCTGTATCAATCCAAACTACTAAACTGAAGCAGGGGGGAAAAAATGAGGGGGGGGGGCTGAAAAAGAAAGACTCAGGAAGACTCCAATGAATGAGGAGGAAGTCAAAATCTACTAGTAAAGGATAGGGGATGCTTTTGCTTTACCACATGGAATCAATGGCATTTCTGGCCGTGGGATGACCTTGTCCAATACATAGGATCTAGGTTAGTTAGGGAAGGCTACTATAGTATGAAGAATCTCTATCCTATTAGCCTATTCTCTTCCTAACTGACCTACAGACCTTTTGAGTAGGTATTTTCCTCTTTTTACTATTACTGCTCAATTTCACCCATGCTTTGTCCTTCCTCTTTAAAGGAAGATGCTCTTAAATTCATTTAGAAGTATGAATAAAGCCAGCAGAAACTCATCCTACAGGTCACCAACATTATTAGCTTTACTCCAATCCATGTCCTCCCCTCCCACTTAAATATCACTTGAAAGGAAAGGAGACAGCATGAATGAGGCTAGTGGGATAACCTAGAACTACCTGTACACCCCCAATCTTAGATAGCATGATTCTTCCCAATTAGTCTGATGCATGCCTTCCCCAAGGGGGAGGGGTGGGACATTCCTTTTGGATCGCCCACCAGATCAGATGAGTACCTAATTTCAGTCCTCAGTCAAGCCTACTTTCCCAAACAAAAGGGAAATGAATATGAAAACTGAGTAATCTATTATATTAATCTTCAACAGCATTTGCAAGTTGTCATAAGCATGTTTTAAGGCCCACACAGTTATGCAAGATCATGCAAGAATCATACTTCAATAAAATATGCAGATTTTAGAGTTAAATGCAGGATCTTGGAAGCTGCAAGAGGAATGTCCAATCCTCATTCATAGTCAGTCAATTAAGGCTGATTTTCTGTGAATGACATAAAAATTTTCCCCTACATCTGGGCTGAGTTGCTGTTTGGATTCCCCTTCTGACGCTTCATTGTTTATGTCTACCAACACCCATTCTCCTCCATGCTGCATCGAGAGCCCAGGATGGGACATACCAAAGCTTGCATGTCCACGGGTGGGTCCTCGTCCGGCTCATCACACCGAAAAATGGCACTGAAGATCGCTGGTGAGTGTTATCTAACAGAACGCTTTCGGAGACACAGCTACTGACTGAAAGGAGCTGAGTCAAAAGCTGGGGTCTCTTCCGGGGGCTGGCTTTTATATCTTAGTACAGACTCAGCTAAATGACGTCATAGGAAGGAGTCAACCCATCCTGGGCTCTCAATGCAGCATGGAGGAGAAACAACATAAAACATTTATTTCCATGTATTTATTATTAAGGAAACTGAGCAAAGAACACAGACAGTGAATTTACCTGGATTTCCGCTTGCAATAAACAAGCAAGTTATCAAAAAGAAAAAATGTTCTCTCCTGGATGTTTCCAGCTGAGATTTTTAGTAAGTTTCCTTGAAGCAGAAGCTGCGTCGAAATGTCCGTCAGGTTGGAGCCCTAGAATACAAAAGAACTATTTCATGATTCTATCCCATTACAGAACATATTATCAGAATTCTGGAGTCTCAATGTTAATCAAATCCATCTTTCACAGTAACCGCTGCTTAGAAATTATTTGACTAATTCTGTTGTTAGTGTTCCTTTTTTAATATCATCTGTCAAAAAAAAATCAAATTTTAAAAAGTAAATTAACTTTCTCTACCCTAGCACCCTCCATAAAAGATATTTGCTAAGGTTTGTTTTAATTTTATATACATTTCAACTATTCAGTAACTAGAATTCGCTAATCTGCCTACATAGGTATTTGAAAAACCTATAAAAAGCCTATCAAGAGAGCAATAATACATAAAGGCAAAGTAAAACCAATTGTAAAATAAAACAGAGTAAAGTTATAAAAACATTGAAATAATTGTTTAAAAGCCTAAGAGTAGAAAGGGCTTTACTTATCACTGCCCAGAAACCAACAGATAAACTGGGGTGTACAAAAAGGAGACAAATTCCGCCAATGGGAGGAAAAAAAACTTGTTTTCATTGATAAAAAGAACATTGATGCTCATTGAGGAGCACTGATTGTGTTACCTAGTTTGGTTAATGAAATGTCTGCAAGAACACAACCAAGTTGAGAAAGCACCAAGGACCCCCCATTTCAACCTTGAGCTAAAAAAATCCTCCTTTATTGAAGCCTTTTAGCTAAACCAACTCACTACAGTATATTTGGCAAAGGTCTTTGGCAATTTCCATAAGATGCAGAAACACAGCCAGACGAACTAATACCACTTTGTTGTAAGGTTACATTAATAGAATCTTGAAAGTCTTGAAAATACATCTTCCCTTCTTCGCTTTTACAGTCCAAGAAGCTAAAGGTAGTCCCTTCTGAGACATTTGCCATTCTCTCATCTTTTTTCCTCTGGACTCAGCTGCCTCTTATTTGACTACTGTTTAAGCTTGGGGGGGGGGGGGGGGGCGGAGGTGGACTGAAGACATCTCTGCAAAAGTGAAGCCAATGATTGCAGCAAAGACCAAGGAACCAGTAAAGAGACCTGTTCCTTGAAATCTTTCTGGTTTAGGAGCAGACACAAGATTGCCAATGTATGCTCCTGACAGTTGTTCCCCACAAGAGATCACGGGACAGCGGTCTCCTGCCCAAGCTGGGTTGCCGAGCCACACAGGTTGAGGAACACTGTGTTAAAGACCTGAATAATTCTGTGTTATAGGACAAAGAAGAATGAACAGAAATGAAATATCTGAATGGATTAAAATTATCTGATTGAAGTTAAAGCAAGACATGTTTTTGCTTTTGGCAATATTTTATGGATTTCCTGCTGACACTAAGACTGAAACAGTGATGTTTTATGGATTTGCCTATAAATAAGGGATGCAATAAGGGATGAAGCAATAAATTGTTTGCAACCTTGGAGGGAATGAACAGTCACTAAATTTGTTACTACTTGTGATGAAGGTTGGAAGTCACTATATGTACACTACACTTATTTTGCAATGAGTTTGGCAGGGTCTAACTTCCTATCTGCAGTGCAAACCAGACTAAGGAAGTATATTAGATTAATATGACCTACTGATGTCTTCCTAGGAAAAAAGACAAAAATTAGTCCAGAATTGTGAAACACAAACCACATCAGCAAAATCTTTTCTTATATATTTTGATACGCCCACGCTAGCAGAAATGGGGTAGTGGCTGGGTAGGTAAACTATAACCAATTCTGGAGATTTAATAAAATACTATTAGTAGTAGTGGTAAGGCGAAGGAACATCACATCAACAGGAAGCATTCACATAACTGCGCAAAAAAGATGAAGCTTAGAGAGACTAGCTTTCTTCACATTATTTGCTGAATTGGTATCAAATGTGAAACACAGATTTAAATCAGGAACTTCCTGGCTCACAGTTCAGTCTCATGGGTACATTACTAACTACTATGCCACATTCTCAACTCTATTTAGAACAGGAGCCTTTAAACTTGACAGCTTTAAGACTTGTTTAGAAAACTCCCAGAATTCCTCCTCTAGTCATGTTAGCTCAAGAATTCTGGGAGCTGGACTTCCGGTTTGAGCTTCTTCAGTGACAGACCGAAACCTCGTCTCTGCGAGGTTTCGATCCATGCTTGCCACTGGAGAGCCCCGAGCAGGCTGGTTTAGGGGCTAAGCCACCCTGTAGAGGTGGTGAAGAGGGGGGAGACTGCCTGCAGGGTTGAGGAGAGCTGCATCTCTCCTCCCCAGCTGGCCATTACTCCCTTTCCCGAAGGCGGTTATAGCGGTGGTCAGAAACGGCCACCACAAAGAAGAACTCGACCGGAAAAGAGTGTGCAGGAGGAAGATAAGAAGAGAAAGTTTTGGTTGACCAGGTCAAACAGAAAAAGCAACAAATAAGATACCTTGGAATTGAAACTATTAAAAAAAAAACATTGTTCCCCAAGAAGATTTTTAAGCTACGAAGAAGAGAGAAAAGAGAAAAGATTTGGTGTTTTTTTTCTCCTTTTCCTACACTGACAGCTAAGACTTAACCAAGAAATTGGAAAAAAATTCACTTTGACATTAATAGGCATTTAATGCTGAAAAAAAAAAAGTCAAAGGGATAATAAAGATTTCTGGATAATCAAAAGCTTTTGAAAACAGGAAAGGAGAGAAAAAGAATAAAAGGGCAGGATCTGGAAGTGAGGAGACTGCCTGGAATTAAAAAGAACTTACAGCAAAATCTCAACAAGACTTCCAAAAGATACATTTTAACTGAAATATCGCAACAAAAACCTCAGGAAGAGAAAGTGGAAAAAGAAATAAGAAGAAATAACTTGGGACTATTTGGATTACTTGATGATTTCTGGATTTTTGGTTATTGAAACAGAACAGACAAAAGTATAAATATAATGATTTGAACTGAGATAATCAAAATAAAATTGAGAAAATTAAAAGAGGGGAAAAACTATATAGAAAATGCAGAATAGTATAAGATATGGAATAGAACACAAAAAGGATCATGAAATTGAGTTTTGTGTTTGTATAAAGAAGTTCAACCCGGGACCATGGTATTTTCAAAAAAGATGCTTTATTTGTATTTTGTATGTGTGAAAACCCAAATAAAACTTAATTTAAAAAAAAAAGAATTCTGGGAGCTGAAGTCCACAAGTCTTAAATTTGCCAAGTTTGAAGACCGCTGATTTAGAAGAACCTGCTGGTTTTGAGTTCAGGATTCCATAACACTTATTTGAAATAAATTAGGCTGTACCTATGTGTGATACAAGAATGATTCTGAATTGAGTAGGCCTGTTCGATAGTCTATGTCATATAGACTATAGTTATTCAGATACGTGTGTAAAATATTTCCAGTTCTTAAAAATCAGTTTTTCCTAAACCAGAATCTTCCAGATGTGTTCAATAGACAACGAGGATTTAGTCTAACAAACCAGTTGAGGAAAGCTATTTTAAATAGTATAATTTTCATATCTTGTTTGAAATTCATGAATCTGCATCCATGCTTAGTAATACTCAGCTATCCAAATAAATCAAAGACTGGAACTTGGTTATAACTGGCAAGCAAGGTTACAGAAAATGTGTTTGGTAAACAAATGTGATGCACCTCACTCAGATCTAAACAAAGAAAAGGCAATCACAGGCTGCACGCAACCCACATAAGCTATTTATTTTTGTCCCTCTGCTCCCCAAGGAAATACCATTGAAACTTGGCAATATAATAGGCAGATATTGATGGTGAAATTTCAGCCTGTTTTCTAAACTTTTAATTGATTTTACTAATAGAAATGGGAATTATTTGTCTATGAGAAGCTTGTACTCTCATCCTAACATTAAACTCCACCAAAACATGGGCTAAATATACAGCACTGATATAACCCAATATACAGAAAAATTCAAAAACTTTAACATTCAGATCATCAGGTGTTCAGCATGCCCTTACTGATAGAAAATAGAAAGTACTCCATTAGAGCCAAAAGTAAAGTAAATATGAAAAAAGGACCATGAATATGAAATATAAGAATAACTCTGATATCCATGTATTATTGCAGCTCGCTCTCTATATTGATTTTTCTTTTTTAAAAGTACAATATATTTAGGGATTTTCCTTCTTTACTTCTTCTGAGGAAAATAGAAGAAACATCCCTTCTGGTTATATTATTTTCTGGCTGCACAAAGTATATTAAATTAAGATCAGCTTGTAATATAGGCAAACTTTTAGAAGTACATGAAGTTACATTTTGAATTCTCCATACAATGGAATAAATCAGCAAGAAGCTTTCATTTGCCTAAAAGAAAATCCTGTTAAACATATCAGAAATTCTTCTAATTCTCAGAATCTTTGTTGTGCTCCATTTAAATCCTTACCACAATCTTATTTGTTTCCTTATTATCACTGCTATTAACCCACTATTATCCTAGCCAATCTCAATTGTTTTCTTATTATTACTGTTGGTAGCCCATTGCTATCCTGGATTAATTTATTATTTTGTTTATTACATTTGTTTGCTGCCCATTTCACCACAAGATGCCCCTGGACAGTTTACAAGGTTAAAAAATGGATTTGGGTTGGCAAAGTAGTTTCTGAGACTTGAAAGCTGACCCTCAATTCAGAATAGATTTATATTTGTGCTCAGACACTGAACATTCTATCCGTTGACCAACTTGCTATCCAAAAATAAAAATAAAAATTACATAGTTGGATATCGACATCATCCACATGGCTCCAGTTGGATGCCAAAAAAGAAGTCTGAAGGAGAAAATGAACAAGTCAAAACAAAACAATCTCAAAGTGGAATAAACACTCTAAACATGAGGAAGTTTGTATGACTTCTAACAGATGTGTCCAGCAAAAGAATTTCGGCTGGTAACCATCAGCTTCTCAAACATAGGATGCTCCAGACACCAATAAGTCCAGGAAGTCATTTAGCAAATTATATTCTAGACAGCAGAATAAAAAACACATTTGCTCACTGGAAACCTCTTCTCTTGCTTAATCAGTGGCCTCTGTCAAATTCTCATGCCTATCAAATACTTGCAGAAATTAGTACTGGATGGCCTTTTGTCCAAGTAAAAAAAAATCATACTCAATTCATAAAATGAATTTTAACCAACTCAATTAGGGATGTAAAAATTGGATAGACAAACTGTATTGTAATACTAAAACAGAGAATAAAAAGAATAAAATAAAACAGAAAAAAAACTCCTACAAAATTGACAATAGTAAACAAAAATAAATTTAAAATTTAAATCATGGTAAAATATTTTAACATGGTTTAGAGCAGAGGTGAACAACTATGGCCCCTTCACAACCTGTGGACTTCAATTCCCAGAATTCAGGAATTCTGGGAGCTGAAGTCCACAGGTCATGAAGAAGCCATAGTTGCTATACACCATCAAAGCTTTATAATAGCTAAGCAAATCCTGACTGACTGCCTTCATTTAGATATGTAACATTGGAAGTCCAAATCAATCAGCACCTCCACCATCTTATTCTGCATCAAGTATTACCTGAATAATACAAGGAATCTTTTCTCAACTACTTGTCAACAGCAGTATCATATGTTTAATTTGTTTCGATGCAAAGTTCTCACTCGAGGCATAAATGATCATATTTTGGGCATATTATGTGAAGACCCTGCTCTTTGAGAACTTTATAATGCTGGGAACAGTGAAAGAAAAGAGAAGAAGGGGGCGACCAGCAGAAAGGTGGATGGACTCAGTTACAATGACAATAGGTGCACCACGGGAAGATCTAAAAAAGCCAGTTTAGGGATAGACTATCATAGAAAAAAAAACTATCTGTGTGATCATTAAGAGTTGACACTAGCTTGATAATCAATCAATCAATCTACTAATCAGCCAGTCACATAATAAGCTGCAGTCACAGGACTTCGCATTAAGACTATATTACGTATTATTTCATGTGAGCTTCATACCCATTCATTGCAGAAAGCAGACAGGAATAATGTTTTGTGTGCACATTTTCTCATCACTTTCCAAAGAATCGTGCTGGTATGAGTTTGCTTTTAAAAAATTGTGAAAAACGGGTCAGGTCAGTATCATGACTTACGACCATAATGGGCAAGCTCCTGTAGCTTTTAAGTACGGTACAACATGTTAACTTGCTTTAATTTCTTTCTTTTTCAGTTCATACATTAATTCATGAACTAACCTAACATGTTAAAGAAAGTAAGCCACAGAAACAAAATAATTAGGTAACTAACAAATAGCTTCCCAAGTTACATTTGTTCCTTTACTTATAGGTAATTCTACTTGATGACCAAAAGCTTAGAATGGAACTATTACCCACTTTCCACCATACCTCCCATCCTTCAATGTGAGACTGCAATTGCTCAAGAGCTTCCAACTTCTCCATCTGCCTTTTGGTCTCATTGATATTGGAGCACACTGTTTTCATTGCCTGTAGCGCATTCAATACCGCTTGATAATCTGGGTGTTTAGTGGGTGTCCTCTTGGCTAATTCCTGGAAGAAAGTTGTAAAAAAGAAAAGGAAAAATAGAAATAAGTCATAGAAGTTACAAGACAAACCGATTTTTTACTACAATTAAGACAGAATGCAATTACTGAAAAACACAACGGCATAACGGCCTCTAACTGAAAGATATCGAGTTCAAGAATTTTATTAGACAAGACCGCCCAACTTGCAATCCCCTAATCTTAGAAGGTTAACCGTAGTTTTCAAACAGGTAATTCTGAACACTTTTGTTCTCAGGTTTCTCAATCAGCTCATCCAGTGTGGTAGCTCTTTCTTAAACATTCAGATTCCATAGTATCACTTCCTCCCAAGGATTGTGTCCAAGGATGTTCATTCACAGATAGAACATCATCACTCCCTAAAACCTAATAAACATAATTGACCTCATAATTTCCATTGCTAAGCAAGATAGTTAAGTGAGTTTTGCCCCATTTTATGACCTTTCTTGCCATTGTTGTTAAGTGAATCACTGCAGTTGTTAAGTTAGTAACACAGTTGTTAAGTGAATCTGGCTCCCCCCTTGATTTTGTTTGTCAGAAAGTCCCAAAAGGTGATCACAGGATTCCAGGACACTGCAACTGTCATAAATACATGCCATTGCCAAGTGTCCGAATTTTGATCAGGTGACCACAAGGGTGCTGCAGCAGTTGCGTAAAAAACAGTCATAAATCACTTTTTTCGATGCCACTATAACTTCAAATGGTCACTAAATGAATCATAAGCCAAGGACTACCTATATTTTACTCTTCCGCCCTTACATCTTCTTTATATATTCTTCTTCCTAAGTAACAGAATTTGCAGTGAATATGGGAAGAGTAGAAGACCTACTTTGTGACTCACTCCGATATTACAATGAGTATTGCTCAGTACCACTTCACATTGAAATAGCATCCCTTGAAAATATGCGTTCAGAAGTAACACTATGCCAGGGACAGCCATCCTTTTAATAAATGGGACATCAACTGGACATTTTTTACATGGTCCACAGATACAGCCATTAGGATGATGGCACATAAATGGCCACATTAAGTCAAATATATGGCTGTTATCCAGAGTGATTTTTCCCCTTTTGCTTTTCAAAAATTACAAACCAATTTTAATTACTGGAGGATGTTCTTGATGCTTCATAAAAGAAGTCCAGGTTACATTTGATTCTGGCACTTCAAGTTGCTCATCCCTGGACGACATAAAAAAAGTCCTCTTGGATTACGTTGGGATGTCACAGTTAGTTTGAATTCTGAATAGCTCATTCATTTATCATTTAATGGACTCAACATGTTGGAATAGAGGAGCTTTTGACCTAAACCAGTTCCATGTTCATATCAACAATGCTACAGGGCAGACTACTCTTCTGATGATTTATTTTAGTATCAGAAACTAAGCTATGGGTGAGGCCCTTGTTTCTAACAAGTTTCCCAACTGGAATTCCACATTCAAAGAACCTCCACAGAACATTCCATATTTCCTTCAAGTTCCAGCCCCTTATCAAAATATTTTTATACTTAAAAACATCTGAAGGATCTTCTTTGGATGTACTGTTCTAATGATGCTGTGTATCAAATATGTTTGACGGCTGCTTCTTCAGTATAATTTTAAAACATTTAACAGTTACAAAAACAGGTGCAAATTGTTTACATTATTATAATACTTTCTGCCAGGAAAGTGTAAGAGGAAATCTAGCTCACCAATATATATATATATATACACAGTACAATGAGGTTGCAATGATTATCTTAATGAGAAAGAATCTTAACATCGTTTTAGATCTCATTTCAAAATGGAACTAAATTATGTGGCTAAAAATTACTCAGATCTGAGAATAAACTAATATCAATATTATATGTAGTGTTGACCAAAGTTATATGGAAAGCTTTTAGAAATCAGCAGTAACAAAAAATTGGCAAATAACATAGTCCTCATCAATGAAATAATGCAATGAAATAATTTTTGGACTAATAACATTTTGCTAAAGTATCATTTCATTTAAACTTTATAATCTGTTCTTTTTTTCCCTGACATTCATTTTTTTTAATGTAGACAAGTTGTAGCTTGGCTGGAGTACTCATATCTTCCAATAAGTATTTTCTCCTCTTTGGTTTTTATATTTCATTTCAAAATATAAAGGGCATATTCATTTCATTTTGAAGTATAAAGGGCAATGAAAGTCATAAAATGGGGCAAAACTCATTTAACAAATGCCTCACTTAGCAACAAAAATTTTGGACTCAATTGTGATTATTAGTCAAGGACCATCTGTAGTATTCTCAGAAGTGTTCACCAAGTTCAAAAGCATCAATACTTTTTCTACCCTAGTACTTCGGGCTCCAATTTCTGTTCCTGTAAAGTGTCACAAGCCATTCAGTGCATTATTCTGATCTTTGTTTTATGATATTGGCATCTCAATATCTTTTCCAAGGCCTCCATTACTCTTCTTCCAAGTGCTAGCCTGTGGTATACTTAACTTCAAGTTCCTTTACGGTTAAGAGATGATTATAAAACAAAAGCTATCCATCACTTCAACATCTTCATTGTAAATTCTAAAGCAGGTTGTTGTAGCCACGGTCTAGTCTCATTGATGTTTATTATTAGACCATGTTTCAATTATTTCATTCACATTTTTCAGCTACTGATTATCTGTGAATTAGAGTAGAAAACTGGAAAAGCTGTATTGATTAGGTTGCATTTCAACTAGGCCTAGATCTTCCTGGGATTCTAAAATGTTATTATCAAATAGATTAGACAGTAGTGATAAGATAGACTTAAAACAGACATATGTTTATGTATTTATGTGTATGTATGTATGTATATGTATGCATTTATGAATGTATTTATATATATGAACACACACACACACACACACACAGAGTAGTTCTCACTTACTGACCATTCATTCAGTAGCTGTTTGAAGTTACAATCGTGTTCAAGGAGACTTGTGACCAGCCCTCAAAGTTACAACATCCCTATCATTCTATGATCATGATTCACACACTTGGCAACTGATGTGCATTTATGATGGTTGCAGTGTCCCATGTCACACAATTGCCATTTGTGACTTTACATCTACTTCCAAAAAGCAAAATTAATGGAAAACCCGGAAGGAAATCTCAAGACATGGAATGTGATGTGGCTTTAATGACCCACAGTCATTAAAGTGACTGTAGCTGGAACGGATCAGCATGATTACATCATGTCATGCTTAACAACCATGCCTCTCAGTGACAGAGTTACTGGTTTCTATTGTGTTCATTGAGTGAGGACTAACTGTAGAGGCATATCAGTTTTTCAAAAGTTTTCCTTCTGAGAGTTTTTCTGATTGTTATCTCGGGTAACCTCTCCTTTAAAATGCAAAATGCAACTATCATGATTCATTAACAGGGATTACTCTCGCCCTTTTGAGCAAAAGGTGAACTAAGTAAGTTTCCTTTCTACTTTTCTTTCTCACCTTAAATAACTGAGTGAACTCTCCTTGAATATTTCTCAAGTGATCATTAATCTTTTGTAGATTGCAAAAACAATGGTTAGTAACAGACTTGCCAAGTTGAATTACTTTTCTCATACCTAAAAAGGTAACAAAAATGTTCAACTCCACTTTTCTACATACAGAGCCAGATTCTACTCGCACTTTAAATACAATCAGCAACAGACTGAGAGGTTGTGCAGGTTGAACTTGAGCTAAGCCTGCCAAATCATAGAAGATATATCACAATCCATCAACACAACAGATGTACACTACTTTGCATGTGACGATCCTTCTGTCTTTACAGCGTGTATTACAAGTTTCGTTTGGTTTGAGCAAGCATTCAGCAAGCTGCCCTTAGTTCCTTCATTTAATATTGATGAAACTGATATTCTTGCTATAACGCAAGAATCCCAAAGTACCAGAATCTGTTAGATAGCATTCTAGCAAAAACTATCCCCTCTTGAGCCTTTAATTAAATTCTTCCTCTTAAGCTTATAATAGGAACAATGAAGTCACTTTCCCTCCCCCACCCCATCTTGACAGAATTTGCCTTTTCATCCACAAAATAAATCCAGAACTTCACATTTAGGTACTGTGTGATATCATTTCTAAGTCTGTTTCTAAGTACAGAGTGCCAGCTTGAATACAATTTTGGTTTAAGGACAAAGTTAGGGAACAGAATTGGGATTTGCATCCATTCCATTCTTGTTGTATCCTTAAATCAACCCTCAGTTGTGCTTTAAGACCCCACATCTTGTGCCAGAGAAACAGTCAACTGTCAATCCAATCAGCTTCTATACAAGGAACGAAGCCCCTCCGGTGGAAATGACTTTTGTCTTGTTTAAAGAGAAAGGGTTGTTAGCACAAGAAACAAGTATTGTGCAGTGAAGAAGGCAAATGCAGAGAAATGAGCACATGAAAGGCAGCACGAGAACGACATTGGGAACAAAATGCACGAAGCACTTCCGTCTGATCAACCATTCCTGGGGAAAGTTCAGCTTCATATTGCAGTTACTGGGGTAAGAGATCTGGAAACAGGGTGCTTAGGGATTAAGAGAAATTCTGAGAAAAAATTATTGTGATAAAGAAATGCTGGACCCATTATTAAAAATAGCAATAAAGAAAAATAATTTTTTTCTAAGCTCTAACCCGGTTACCAGGCTGAACATTGAACTAATTGTGCCATAGATCTGCCTGTAGAGGCCTGAGAGTTAGAAGTGTTTTAAATACAGAGAGAACTAACACAATTGAAATATCAGCATTCACTACTGAATGAATACCAGAGAAGAGACCTTTTTAATGTATTTTAATTTCTTATGTAAATGAAAAAGCCCACGGGAAATAATTCACTCACACAGCCTAAAATGAATAGAAAAAGCAACGGTCCTTCTTACAGACTTTGTATTTTTGGCCTAGTGGCCAAAAAGCAAGAAAGATCGTGGCTCTTTGCATCATTCTATATTCATACTCGTTCTATAAAGGTAATCCTTGACTTAAAATCACAATTGAGCCCCAAATTTTTATTGCT